GCTTTGTAAGAGCTCCTTAGTCCGATCAAAGTCTGTAATCAGTGAGTGACTCGGACGTGGATGATCTTGTAGGCTGTATTTGCCTTCACATGACTCCTGAAACCAACAACGACAGTTGCGACAAGCATCGCCTGCGGAGTGTTCTGGTTGGAAGACCCAAGGAATATAGTGTCAAGCAAGAGCCGGAGCAGATGGCGTTTCACGGAGACAACGAGAGAACTTTATACTCCGCAGTATAAAAGTATGCTGAGGTCCTTCTTTACCAGGAGCGAGAACAATAAAAACAAGCTTCAAATTTTGGCGTTGTTTTGAAAAAAGCGGAAATGCCCACTGCTCAACCTAGTACTAACTCTACCAGCGGGATCTCCCAGAATTCAACACCTCACTGTCTGAAGGACTGAATTATCACTTTTGGCAACCCCTGCAAACCCCAACTCTTGCAAAAAATTTTGAAAGGTTTATCATGTAGACTGACCAGTTCGAATACTTTGCTTCAAATACTGGATTCCATCTTCGACGACTACTTGAAATAATTTGTCTGGTGTCAACGAAAACCATTTCTTCGCCATCTCGAATGTCGGTCGGTGGGGCTCAACAGCTGTTATACTCATCTAAAATTGAATCTCATCTTTCTTATTCGAGCAATAATCAGTGATAATCTTTCTGGATAAGTCTGCGGTGAATAATCAGCTGAATTTCCAGCTGTCAAGTGTTTTCCCCCTTTCAAAGTCCCCTCAGCCAGCTCGTTTTGCCGTTTTGCAACTTTTTTTCGAAGTTCCTCCCCACTAGCTGATATCAGAGTGATGTCATCGGAAGGGCGTACCGGAGTAGTAGTCGATGATAATCTTTCTAGATAAGTCCACAGTGAATGATTTGCTCAATTTCCAACTGTCGGAAGTTTTCCACTATTTCAGTCTCCTCAGGCAGCTCATTTTGCCATTTTGCAACTTTTTCCGAAGTTCTTCCCCACTAGTCGATATCAGAGTGATGTCATCGGAAGGGCGTACCGAAAAAGCCCAACATCTGGTCGAGGAGATCGACTACTGCTCTGAGAACTTCAGCACAAGCTTCGAGAAGGGTCCCAGCGAAATGGGCGAAAACTGCTTGACAAAATAGGCGAAGTGACTTGACCGAATACAACGGGAAAACAATCATCTTCTTGGTGCCCTCAGACTTCGATCAATAAATCATATATAGATACTTCTTGCGACCGGGAATAATGAAACGCAGCTTTTCGAAAAATTGCTCGAAGGCATGTTTCTTCTCCATCAGCTCTGTTTAGCTAGAAATGAGGCTCTCAAAAGTTACGGCAGTCGAATCAAGCAGTTGCAGTGGCTGTCATAGCTCGCCGGCCGGGGGACTACTCGACTTGCGGTATCGGTCAAGATTCACTTGTAAAAGGTGCAAGCGGAGCCCTCGGCCGGCGCGCTTGCGTGCTCGTGGGCCGGCCGGGAACTATGAAGGCAGCCGCTGAGACATTAGTCTTATCATTTTCGTCTCCGAGCGGTAACCAGACATCACATCATCGCTATTCTGTTTGATGATGGGGCATCTAGTGCAGCTTCTTTCTCTAAGCATTGGAACTAGTTCCCTTCGCCATTATCCTCCACATAGTGTGCTCCTCTAGCGCCCTCCATGTTCTGATTGCGACCCATTTAAACCAAATGATTTCTTAATTTTCATCCTTCCTACTACTCAACGATCCCCACTTTCTGCCCGGAGTGTGATGGTATGGCACCGGTCGTCGCTTCAGTTTGGGCGTCGTTTTTGTGGAGGAATTCGAGAAGCTTGTTGAACTAGACATTTCTCCTTTCGACGATCGACTTTGACCGGATTCCTGAGAATAAGAACGGTTACCCAGCATTAGGACATGTCCGTTAACGATTCTGATTGGGTATCGGTTTTGTAGGCATACTTCGACCTACAGAAAATAATTTGATTCTTTTCTCCTCAGTGCCTGAGAATTTCAGTACCTGCGGAAAAGCATGGTGTAGATAACTGCTCAGAAATCCTCCGCCGAGACCAAGCATGAGCACGTCAGCATTTGATTTCTCTGTGAGTGAGAGTGCTCCGCTGGCGAATATTTCATCTTAATACAGACTATTTAGTTGATAAAATACCCAAGTTGTAAGAACAGACGTGATATACTGTTATATTTGAATAGGGCCAAGAATATTAGGAACAACGCTTACGACTTGAGTTGTTACCGAGGACAGTATTGACACCGTTACAGTACCCAGCTACCGTACCTTTCCTAGCGTACTGTAGCCGCCTATCGTAATGGCAGTATACTGTAGGAGCTGAAAGTCCCAATTAAGGCGCCACTACCGTACAGCTACCGTGCCTTTTATGAACATCTAACCCGGGCGCGATTTAATTGCTTTTTGAGTTCCCGCTCTACCGTACTAAACGTTGTACCCAAACAGTGAATAGCAAAGCATACCGTATCTCAGATACTGCAACTGCAAAATTCATGATTGGGTTGATGCTTCTACCGTACCCTGCATTTACCACCACTCACATCCAATCTCAAATATCGATTACCGTATTCTCAGTCACCCCTCTTGTAGGGTTACTGTAGTCTTGAAACGGTATCTTACCGTATCAGGGCTACAGTACTACTGCAGTATCTCTACACTCCGTCCCCTTATCCCCCGTGCTCCGTGTGCTTAACCAGTATTCTTGCCTGTCTTGTGCAGGCGCCGGGTGATAGTGTTGTCATGGGTAGCTATGTATGTATAGTTCTAGTAGTGCTGACCCACGCACCCATCCCAGTTTACACTACCTTTTCCCAGAACGGCTTCTCCATTTGGTCGCACCCTCTCGCGCATATGAGAGGGAAGGTTTGAAAATTCAGAGGAAGGGTGTGGTAAACACTCGATGCCGTGGGAATTCGGAGAGAACATCGGATTTGCTCGGCGCCGAAGTGATTTGTCCTTCTATCTTCAATGCACCAAGTGTCTCATAGAATGAAGTCTGACCGACTATCTGTCCTTGAGAACCGAGAGGCTTTATGGAAACGTCGACTTCCCATTTGCTGGTATCCATGGTACTTCTCGTGAGCTCTGAATGTAGGAGGTTGTTGGGTGCAATGACGACTTTCTCTTAATGTGAGCATGAACGGTGACTTGTGTATTGGCTTAGGTTTCACCGAAATTGACTAAGTTACATTTTGATCTCATAAATCCTGAAGAGGTTTAAGCAAGTACACAAAAGCCATGACATCTGGTTCTGCCAAGAATGACATACGTTTGGGAAGCTTCAAGTACGCATAAGTTAGAACATGGTTGTCCTTTCTTGCTACTCTTCGGATCCTGCTCCTAAAAATCTCGCAGCTACATGAGTGCTACAGCCATTCATTGAAAGCTTTCTTGGAGGACTCCAGGTATTTCTCTTTAGATTGGGTCATTCATCCGCTGTACAGGAATCATAACGATGACAACATTAGCAATGAAATATTGGCGTTAACATCACACTGGGGAGCGGTGAGCCGAAAATGAAGGGACTTGTTGTGAAGGCGAAGAAGTGATGCTGAAGATCCTGGTGATTGCTAAGAAATCATAACGACTGGTGCAAAGTAGTAGCGAAGAGCACGAAGGTCTCACCAAATTTACTTTAAAATGATTTTGTCTTCTTGCTTTCACAATTCTCACAAGAATTAAAAAGGGAAATACTGAATGGAGTACTGGGGATTGGTCTATTGTGATTGAAAATGTGGAACTGCTTGAGTACCATCCCTCAACTGCCCATTGATCAGTTACTATCGGATGAATACTCCTAGGATACTTCCAAGAAACTACAGCTGTAGTAGCGATTAAGTAAAAGCAAGTCTAAACAGAACTTCCACATTCAAGATTCTGTATCAGGCCAACCCACCTTCCGCTTGACTGGACGACTTCATCTCGGATTTCTACACATGTAAGATAATCAAAGCAGAAAGTATCCCTATCAAAAAATGCAATTTAGTCGCCTTAGTTAATGACACTTCGAGGTTTTTGAAATAAAAAACAACATGAAAATAAAGTAAGTAACGCTGTAACGCATTGGTATATGAATATACATAACGGAATTTTGTAATTCCCATTGGTGTACTGGGTGGGCTCACTCTCAACCTCTTCACTTCCCCACTTGAGGATCATTTGCTTGAGATGGTGGTGATGGTGGTGAGGCTTAAGTGAACCCACGTGAAAGTGTGCATAGGAGAAACTACGAAACAGATCGCGAATCAGAACCACATGCTGACTGAAGATGTTCGTAACTGGATACCAAGCATGTGCCACCAATTTTTACCGTTTTGCCGTTTTTTTACTCTCCTCTGCATGTAGGCGTTTGGTCAATAAGCACTTCAACATTGATTGACACCAACGGAACACCGAATTAGGCCAAAGACTGTCAGGGTTTTTCACGTCGATAAACAGCATTCTTGGTTGCATGCAGATCCGGATGGCATTTCACTTACTATAGATATCATAGCCATATGTGGACAGATCCTTTATGAATCACATCATCCAGCGAACGATTTTTCCTGGCTGTTTTCCCTGTTGTTTCGGAGATCAACATGGGTAGAACAATTACCTTTCTCTCGATAAACTCAGCTTTTTATTGTTTGAAGAAAGACAAGGTAAATTCAAGAGATCTAGGCCAGTGGATCATAAGAACGTGGTCGTTTAGGAGTCTCTGTGAGTTTTTGGGAAGTTTCTGTTACTGGAAAATCGCTGAGAAGTGCTATTTGTTCTTCGAGTACGCCATTGGTAACGCGAAAGCAGAAAGGGACAGTCCACCGTTAGAGTTCTTTCACTGACAAAACTCAAGATGACAATCAGGCACGGAATTGCATGGACTGCAGAAAAGGAGCAAAGCTACGGAGAGAAGCCATTCGGAAAAGAAGTTCTGGTTGAAATAGCAGGGAGTGGGAAAAACTTCAGCATTGTTTGACCAATTTGACAAACCGAGATGGCTTGTTTTCGACGCCTTGACGGAACAATCACTCTATTCCGGAAGGCAGTGTAGGTAATGTGCACTCTTCACTCTTATCTCTTCAAGATCCACATTTACCTGCTCACCTGGAAACTTGGTTGGTAAAGAGAGGTGCGAGTGGACTGTACTACCTCTATTTTTTTGTTTAAAATTTCAGTGCTATTGCTCGAAGCTGCACATACATAAAATGGGAAAACATGAGGTTGAGGATCGATCAGGTCCAGCGTTTCATTCCTCGTGGCTTGACACTAAATTGGTCTGGGAGGATGAGACTGAGTCGTTTGACCCCGCTAGCCATTCTGCAAAGAATTAGAGAGCTGAATTGGACAACCCTAGTGGGAAAGTTTGCCCGGGCTGAATCTGACGAACACAATTTAACGTGAAGCGGAATGATTGTAACGACACACTTAATCATGCGCAGTCGCGTTCTATCAAGGGAAAGGTTTGCACTCCCGTAAAAGAAAACAGTAGATGCCGCGGAGTCACTGCTGCTTGCTGAAGGAGTTCGGGGAGAAGAACATTCACCTCCGCTGTTGCATTTCTTCCGGCTTGCCAACCTTTTGTAATTAACATTTTGAAAGTGCTGATAATGAGTGGAAATTTAAGCGTCCCATCTCAGTCGAAGTGATATTTTATATGTTTTGAATTCATGTTTTGTCAACTGGGTTATATCGCCGCAGTCCGAAAGCCTCACAAATTAGGCGAATTGTGCGCAAATAGAACATCTTAGGCCGAAGTTCTGCCCTCAAATCGCTATCTTTGTGAAATTGGTTTGTAATTTCTGGCTGTGAAGCTTCACAATAGCTCAAGAAAGCTATTCCCATGGAAGCACACTTACAGAAGCCTGGATTTCCCATAGGTTGTGACTACAAGCTCCAAGAAACTGTTTTCGATATATTCCTTGCCCACATATTCGCTCACTTGTGACTCGACTCGTGGTCCTCCACCGAAGATGATGATGAGAAAGAACACCTCAACATTAGAAACTCGTTGTTTCAACAGTTTCTTAGCATTTTAGAGGACAAAAATGTTCCAACGGAGGAGCCCGTTGTTTAGAACGTGAAATGTACATAGCTAGAGGGGTGAAGACAACTGAAAAACTTTTTCAGGCTGAAAGAAGAACACTGTTCTCTCTGCATCCAGATAGGATCGCTCCTCCCATCTGAGTTGACAAAGAAGTTAAAGGGGAAAAGGCATTTCAATAGCAGAAACGATTTCATAGTCTAAAACGATTGTTACATTTCGCTCGTTGGTTAGACACCCATCCTCTCCGCCCACTCCCCACTCTACCCACTGCCCAATTACAGTCTCTCCAGCTCAAGATTACTAAGCACATGCCTAATTCGACTCTGTATACTTCTATAATGGATCTCAAATGCTTATGACGAGTATGACTTTAAAAACAATTTTCACTTCGGGTCAATGACTGATATAGCCAAATCAGTCATATTGAAGAGCCACAAGGAACTCAAGGAGTATTCCCAACACCAGCCATGCATTGTGATTCGCATAAAGCTCGTACTAGTTCTCATTGGCTGCTTTCATAGTCCGCCGGTCGGCCGGCGGACTATGAAAGCAGCCATTTACATACTTTTCTTTTTCTTTTTTTTCTCTTCAGCTTTCTCCACGTATGTTGGACCCATTTTATTTACGCTTTTATATGAGTCTTCCACGAATTGACAAAGGTTAACCAAGGACGCCTGAGAACAAAAACCTCTATGGAGGAGTTTCAGTGAGAGTGAACGTCTTGACAATGGGACAGATCAAGAGAAACAGCAATTGTTGATTGTTTCAAGCTACTGTGAGAAAGTATTGAAACCTCATATGTTTTGCGTTTATTACCCAATATATAATACAACAGCTCACCGCACATACAAATGCGAAATAGGTTCCCAACCGGTCTTCAATATGGTACATAGCGAATGACTGTGAAATAAAGCTTCTCCTCCATAGCGTATCACTGAAATCCAACTCATCATCCGTTATCATCATTTGCGGATATCAATAACAGATGAGCAGCAAAATCTACGCAGCCGATACACCATGTAAGCTCACCTTACTCTTACTTACGACCTGATGATTGCCATCTGTTGCTACCCACTTACTTGAGTAAGTATAGCTCTTGATCAGGGAAAAAAGCTTTGCGTTGGTGTTTGTGTGTATATGTATGTGTGTCTGTGTGGGAACGGGTGGTTGTGTGGTATGTGTGGGTGTGTGTTTGGTGGGCGCACACACCTGCTGCCACACCAAAACTGTAGCGAACAGTGGTGAGCGCCCTGGGTCTCACCACTGTTCGCTACAGTTTTCCTTCTAGCGTCCTGGAGCACCGTCGGTCGCAGGAGGGGCCGTTGAATTCATCCCACTTCATACAGATTTCATTCAAGCTTCTACAGCCTGGTCGACACTACTATCATCGGCTAGATCGTTCCGTAGGTACCCTATGACTAACCTTTTGATGCGTCTCCAGGATGGTCAGTCTATATTCGGTTCTGCGCACTTTCCGGACTCAAGAAATAGCCATAAGTCTTTTCACGTTGTGCGTTTTCACCAGCACTTATGCAGCTTATCCTAGAGTTCTCCTCTCCACTATCAGAACGATGTCATCAGCACAGAAGGTGGTACCCCTTTGCGATCCATCCATGAATATTTAGGCGATGACATCCATTGTCAGCAGGAAGGAAATTGGGCTCGGGAGTGTTCTTCAACTGTAACGTCTTCTACCCTGGTTTAGCCGTGAGGGACGCGTATGACCGTCGCAAACCTATCGCACATTTCCTAGACGAGGCAATTCAGGTGTTCAGGCTCAGGCTGGTACCATGAGGACTCTCTAGATTCGTCATAACTAGTCTAGTCATGAAGATGCTTCCGTAATACAGCTTCTCGGTATGGAATCTAATTGCTCTTGTGAGACCCTGACAAGTTCCCACAAACTTGATTCGACTAAGCGCTCGTTCAGTTTTTTTTTGGTATGCACAGTCAGCCTGATTCCACGGTGGTTGGAACACTCCATCGCTTCGATTCTGCTTGGAGGTGGGGGCGTCAGTGCAGCTCCACGCGACTGGTATCCTTCCTTCAGTGGTCAAGGTGTTCAGAAACCGGATGAGACACCTGGCCCGTGTTCTATGAGAGCCTTCCACTCTTCGATTGGTATCACCCATCCAGAGCAGTTCGCTTCCCGACTTTCATCTCTACCTAACCCATCGTTTGCAGCGATCAATTCCTGTTGCTCAGACCGTTTCTTTCACCCACCCATGCATCTTTCATCGATTAGGCCTGCTGGCCAGTGAAACGGCCAGTGTGTGTCTGCATGACCATGTCGCTGTAAATCTCTGTGGGTGGCCTGTGCCACCTATGGTCCGTGTTCCTCATCAGTATTAAGTGTGAATGCCACCCTCATTCTGAAGCGATGCTCAGCAAAACCTACCCGCTGTGCTGGAGGGTAGGGTTAACATTTATTTCGAACGGATAAAATCGGACTTCCGTAATTGATCATCATGATTCTGGAGCAGTTCAATACTTTACGAGTTGTCAATGACCGCCAATTTTTCTGAAATATCAACAAAATTGACATTTATGGCAGAATTCCCATTCCATGATCATGATCGTATATCATGGAGGTGCATGTGTTATTGTAAATATTCGAAAGTAAATTCAAACTCTTCTGCTTGCTGCTAGTCTCACATCCATTCAATACCAACGAATCTATTTTTGTAGGCCCATATCACAGATTTAGGCTAATGTACACTCTGTAGGGTTAGGAAACTCCAGCGAGAATGCCTCGAGAACAGCCGAATTCCTGAGGATGTGATCGGACGGTCGTACTGATAACGGCTCATCGCGACGCCACGCTCCACCTAGAACACGGCTTCTGACAGCCTGCTAGTACATTATCAAAGAATTGGTCTCTAATGCACTGAGGAGATCCAGGGGGCGGAAACTACCTACACGAAGACTACGTATAACAGAGTAGTACTCTCTCGAGGAGCTCATTCTGCACAAAGGTCTTGCTGGTCCTTCTTGTTCTTCCCCAGCATTCCTCCGACACAATTGCGGAGTGTATCAGGGGTTCTTTGCGAGATGATTTCTTTTTGATCGTTTTCATCAAGGTCTTAGTACTTTCTCACAGAACTAGAGCTTCTGATAGGTCAGCGTTCCAGTTGGAACTCTTTATTTTGGAAAAACTGGAACATAATGGGAAGGAGTTTAATCGATATTCATAACATCAACATTAAAAAATGAACTGA